TAGTTCACTGCATTAGGGGGACACTGGACAACACAGGATGTCTTAAATCACTTGAGAGAATACCTGAAATAAAGTCTTACTACTGACACTCAAACCTGGTTTGTTCAATGACTTCTTGCTGCTACTTATATACCTAAGGACTCTCTGATTCTGCCTTTCTGGCATTCCCAAGAGTTGCTGGAAAGTGAAGAGAGCTTAGTCCAAACAGTGGGTGATGTATCTGTTCTGGGAAATGTCAGGAAAAGCCTGCAGGTTCTGGTTTGATGGGGATGACAGGTTTGGGTTCAGCTTTCCTCCGACCTTAACTTGGAGTATGCTGGGACCAGAGGTCCTGTGTACTGCACCTGTGTGTTGTAACTAGACATTTAAACTGTTGTGCTGTAGCTTCACCAGTATTTCCTTTAACATAAGGTCTACTGTAGCAGCTAAAAGCACTTTGAGACTCGGCTGAGAAACTAATGCTTGTTGCCAACTGTAAAGTTGAAAACTTATTGTTTGAGGAAGGAGGAGTCAGACTGGTGTCAGGTGCTAGTGAGACCTTGAAACGTAGGACTTCATTGTTGACTTATGTCACTTCATATTAAACTCAGTTAAATGTAAGTTGTACATAAGTTGTACATTATAATCACTTAAATCAAGCTCTACTACTGAGAGGCTAGCAAGACAGTTGAACACATAAATATGTATATTATTTCAACACCAAATCAACGAAGTATGTAAATGCAACAGCCAGTGCCCTAAAAACAACTAATGATCTAGTACTGGCAGTTTTAAGCTGGGCAAACTCAGGGCGCTAAAACTCTTGCTAGCACCCACAGTTTCCTTGTAAGAAATGCTATGTGGCTGGAACCAGTTTTTAGCATCAAGAAAGGAAAAAACCCAATGTTTTTCTGCACCAGAGCATGTATTTAATTAGAGTTGTTGCAAGAGCTGTTTGCTCCCGCCTCACTGAAGCCTTTGGGCAGCACTTGCAGCTGCTGAGCACTGTCAGAAATTTGAGCCAGAAACTTTGGCTGTGGCTGCCAACTCTCTGCTGTGCAAGTTCCTCTACATAGCCAGGTGGTTTTAGGAGCATGTGCTCATGTTGAACCACAAGCGGGGCTCGATACGTGGTGTGCAATAAGCCAATCTTACACATAGAGCTGAGATACTTATTTATTTCCTATTTGTGCAAAGACGGGTGCTAGGTGATAATTCCACAAAGCTAGCACCCCACACCAAGGAACTATAATGTATTTATTCTGTTACATGATTAGTAAAACCCCATCTAAATTTATGTTCATGGGTTGGTAGTCACCATCTCATCTACTATTGGTTAGTTATGTCTAAATTAGCCTCGCTTGGTGTGCAAATTAGCAAGCATACTCCTTGGCGGGGGGGAGGGAGCCTTTCCAGTCTTGAATGGAGTCGGAGGTGGTGATCTCCCCCCGATGCCTTCACCCTTCCCCTCGTTCATGCTTCTTTGGCAGTCATCCAGCCTTCGGTCCCTTCTGGAGCAGGGTGTGCCCTCCTTATCAGTCTTTAGTTCCTTCTTCGAGGACGCAGTCCTTAGCAAACCCTGCATCGTTTACACAAAGTAACCGGGCCTACGTAGCGAAACCATTGAGTAATGGTCCTTAACGGACGAGGCGTCGTGTTTAACCCTAACCTGAGAGGCGTCACCACGGTTAGGCCGTAACTCAAACACACGACGATCGGTTAGGCCGTAACTCAAACACACGACGATCGCACGGAGACCCGGCCTTCGCCCACCCAGAGCCCGAGCCCCTGCCACACCGACACCGCTCCTCCAGCCACGCCATGCCT